AAAGGACTATAAATGAAGACTGGAAAGTTAGGTGGGAGACTTTAAGCACTGGTCTAAAGACTAAGAGATTTAACTTAGAGTTAATAGGGAGCCACTAAAGATTTTTGAGAGTGAGTGACTTGGTCCAATCTGTGTCTTACCTGATTGTTAGCCTAAATTCCTCAACCCACATATCTACTCAATTTCTAAATCTTGCCATTTCTGCCTCCACAAAATAACTTCCATCTGTCCTCCTCTCTCCATTGACATAACCACCACCCTAGTTCAGGTCCTCATCATCTTCTTGTCTCAACTATTGTAGTAACCTATCAAGTGGTGTCTTTGTATTAGCTCTATACCCTCTTCAATGTCTCCTTCACAGAGCTGCCAAAATGATTTTTTTTTTTTGCTTAGGAAATCGGGGTTAAGTGACTTGCTCAAGGTCTCACAGCTAGTAAATGTCAATTGTCTGAGGCTGGATTTGAACTCAGGTCCTCCTGACTCCAAGGCCAGAGCTCTATACATTGTGCCATCTAGCTGCCCCCCCCAAATGATTTTCTTAAAGCCCAAGTCTAACTTTGTCTCTCCTCTACTCAATAAACTCCACTGGCTCCCTGTTAGCTTCAGGATCACATGGAGGTACAATACAACTGCTTGTTCCTTCCCCGTTACATATTTTGAGGAATTTCTGTGATTTTTCTCAAATGCATGGGAATGTTAGCAAGATTCTTCTCATGGACAAATGCTTCATTTACACATATTCCAAGAGTCTTGTGAATTTGGGCTCTTTTAACTTTGGCAATGCTGCATTTTGACAGATTGTACCCTTCAACTTACGCTTTCATAAGTCTTTGTTTTAAAAACTGGAGCCTACATTTATCAATCATGTAGAATTCAGATATACATTGAAAATACCTGGAGAAATATTAATTTAAATAGCAAGTAGGAAAATTGAAATTAACTCCACCAGTTAACTACTTTGCTGACATTCAAAGCCCTTCATAACCTGACCCCTCCTCATCTTTCCAGTCTTCCTACATCTTACACACACACACACACACACACACACACACACACACAGAGCAATCCAATGACACTGGCCCCCTTGCTATCCTTTGAAGAAGATACTTCATTTCATTTTCCCCTGGTTATCGTCCATACCTCTCCTTGCTCATCTCTGCTCCCTCCCCTAGCTTCCCTGGTTTTCTTCAAGTGTCAGCTAAAATTCCACCTTCTACAGGAATCCTTTTCCAATCTCTCTTAGTTCTAATGCCTTCTCTTTGTTAATTATTTCTCATCTATGGGCAACTAGGTAGAGTAGTGGATAAATTTCCAGGTTTGGAATCAGAAAGACTCATCTTCATGAGTTCAAATCTAGCCTCGGACACTTAATAGCTGTGTGACCCTGGGCAGGTCACTTAACCCTGTTTGCCTCGGTTCCTCATCTATAAAATGAGCCGGAGAAGAAAATGGCAAAGCACTCCAGTGTCCTTGCCACAAAAATCCCTAAGTGGTCATGAAGAGTCGGACACAACTAAAATAATTGAACACTTCCTATTGCTATACATTGTTGTTGTCATTTCCCATTTATCTTGTCATACATGTTGTTTACACGTAGCTGTTTACATGTTATCTCCTCCTTTAGATTGTGAGTTTCTTGATGACAGTGACTATCATTTACCTTTCTTTTTATCTCCAGCACTAAACACAGTACCTGGTACATAGTAGATGCTTAATAAATGTTTATTGCCTGACTGATTGCACTAGGAACTTATCTTTCATAGCTTATAGTAAATCATACACCATGGTCAGGACATATACAAAGATACATACAAAGAACAGAGGTAAATAGGATTAAAGTTCATAAGAAGATATATTTGCACACAGAGGATAAAGGAAATCAAAACAAGAGGAGCTTGAAGTGAAAACTAGACAGAGCAGTAAGGATGCCTTTGGCAGGGTCTCATCAGACTGCTTTTGCTGGGATGGATTGAAGTAAGAAAAAGCAAGACAGTTCTTGAGCTTCTCAGCCCTCAGGAAAGGTAAGAGACCTTTAAGAAAAGTGTGGGTAGGCAAGTGCTCTCTCTTTCCAAGCCAGGGAAAAAGATTCTATAAAGTCATCCTTCTCAGGAAGCAACAGTAAGAAAAGGGAAAAATCAACAAGCGGCTGTAGCCAAAGAGAACAGGGGAAAGAAATCTCAACTCACAGAACTAATCTATTTTTCAAACTATAAAATTCTTAAATATTATAACCCATAACCTTCCCATGGCATAGGAGACTTTTCTTTGGCTTTTCCTATGCCTGGACTCATCTTCCTGAGTTTACATCCAGCCTCAGATACTTACCAGCTGTGTAACCTTGGGCAACTCACTTAACTCTGTTTGCCTCAGTTTCCTCTCTAGTATTCCTTCCAAGAAAACCACAAATGGGGTCATGAAGAGTTGGACACAACTGGAAACAAATTAACAACAACATGCCTGGAATGCTTTCCCTCCTCCACTCCGACTATTGACCTCCTTGGCTTCCTTTAAGTCTCTACTAAAATTCCACAGGAAGCCTTTCCTAACACCTCTTAATCCCAGTGCTTTCCCTCTTTGAATTATTTCTTATTTATTCTGTATAGAGCTTACTTTGTATATATTTGTTTGCATGTTGTCTCCCCATAAGAGTATAAGCTCCTTGAGAGCAGAGTCTATCTTTTGCCTCTTTCTGTATCCTCAACACTTAACACAATGCCTGACACATAGTAGGTATTAATTTTTATTGAATGAATGAATATCTTTTACTATTTAAATCTATTTACACTTGTAAGCATTTGTTTCCTACATAGAAAAATTAGATGGCTTTATAAAAAATAATAGTAATTATAGAATACTTTAGTTATCTTCATCCAGGAACTTTTACCTTAATGTGCAAGGCAAGGTTTGGGGAAGGGAGCACTTGCAAATATCTTCTACAGACTGTGTTCTGCCAAATGTTGAGTCTGGGCATTACCTATTGACCTTGAATAGTCTTTCTGCATCTGGTTTCAGTAAATCCTGTTGTAACCCCCAAGGAAGGTGGGTTCGCTTTTTTAAAGTTGTACAACAGGTCTTCATGCTAAACAAAAGATTAAATGGTCCTGTGGTCCACCATGTTTGATCTGTTCCTTTCAAGGGAATAAACACAATGGAGTTTTCAGAATAGCTTTGGCGACCTCTCATGTGGTGCTGCTTCTTTAATCCTTCTCATCATTCCCATGCGTATTCC